TCAGAAATATATTTAAAGTCTGCCAAAGATTGCTCCAGACTAAGACCGGTTACTGCATTGAGAATTTATTTTTATCAGGCAAAGTCCTTTAGAATGCACCTCTCCCTGTTTGGTTGGGTTGGGTGCTACTCAAATGGATCAATATGCTAAAGAATCCCTTCTATCTTCTGAACCCTCAGATCCCAAAATCACCTGCCAAAATCACCATGGTAGGCTCTTGCTGGGAGACAGCTGTTTAATGAGTAACTTGGCCTTTTGAAACTCTGAGATCAGGCCGAAAGACCAAGGAAGCAAAAATATAGGTGTCATGAGGAGCACAGGGTGCCACGGTGACACATTTAAATCTAGTGGCCAGGTTCAAATCCCGGTTCTGCTACTACTTAGCTATGGGACTGTGGCCAAAATGTCTTAATTTCTCTGATCCTCAATTTGTCCCTTTAGAGAACTGATGATAGTACCATCCTCAAAGGCTATTGCAAAGACTAAAAGAAGTAGTGCATATGAAGTGCTTACCATGGTTCTGGCATGTTGTAAATGCTCTGTTAATATTGCTGCTCTTATTACATCATGACTCTGGAGCCAGGCTTTCATTAAAAGGTCCCTGGCACTAATATAGTATAAATCTGGCTTACAAGAGGACCGTGAGGAGGAGGCAACTCAATATAAACCAATGCTAGGGCCAGGACACTTGGTTACCACCCTCAGGGTCCTGGCAGGATGGGTGTGAGTCATTCTCCATCTTGCATTGTACTTGACCTGTTCCTTGGTTAGTCTGGCTCTTCAGCAGCCTTTGGAGTTCTGCCACTAATTGCTTATGAGAATGGAAATGACTTTCTGTGCTAGAGAGCGAAGTCATTCTTGAATAACAGTTTGGTTTCAGGTTCTCAGTTGCAGAGAAATAGTGAAAGGCTGTGCCTCAGTGCCTCAGTTCTCCAGGAGCAAGGAGACCTGGGGTAACTTTGTGTATCAGGGTTCTTTGCCCTGTTTTTGCCAGGGTCCATCTAGTGTGTGTTAGGCTAGGATGAGCAGGGAGGGAGATTGGAATAGTAATGTATCTATCCCACTGCCTGTGGGCTGCTGCTCCAAGTAAGGCCTATGAGCAGAAGAGGGAGGCCCTACCACTCCTGCTGGGGGCTGCGCTGGGTAACTTAGGGAAATATAGAGGGTTACATAGGGAGAACAGAGTGCAGTTGATTATGCTAACAACTGAGGAAGGCGCACACAAAAATGCAAGGTAGCCACTGAATGTGGCCTTCCTTTGAAGAACAAAGGCAAAGAAAATTGGCTCACCTTTGAGAATTAAATGATAACAATTCACTGAACAGAAATCAAAATCAGTCCAAAGCCAGCTCACTCAGAAAAATACAGGATCCTGAAGAGAAAAAAACTGAATTATGTGAGGCCTTTGAATAGTGGGAACTTTATTTTAAAATGTCTTTGTAAAGTGATTTGAGTGCTTGCAGAAAGAAAGCAAAGGCACAGCCTGGGGAGGCAGATTGTCTTCAGGCTCCCCATATATCACATCTCCCCCCCTTCCCCCCAGCCCCCCTCCCCCCTCCCCCCTCCTCCCCCCCCCCGAAATCCCTCAGTAGGCCTCCACTGACAGCCAGGAGACAGTGGGCTGACCCCTTTAGGCTCTACGGTAGAAGGTGAAATTTAAGACCTAAATGCAAACCTTTTGAATTTAGATCTAGACCATTTCCAACTTTAGACTCACTTGGCAATAATGCTAGATTCATGTTGTTCAACCTGGGCCTCAACTCCAGGAACATCTCCCCCCCTTCCCCCGACTAGCTCCTCTTCCATGCTCCAGGACACCCAGGAAAATCACATTTCCAGGAAGAACTCATTTAGGCTTTCCTGTACTTTACCAGGAAACTGTTAACCAGAGACAAGTTGTCCTGGGTCAGAAACAATGCAGAACCTACAAGGAGGTCAGTCCCATTGGGTCACAGGAGAAGGCAGATATCCATTCAATAGAGGAGAAAGTTCAAGGATGAAGATCTGTAAGGAAACTGAGAAGGTTAAGAGGACCCTATAAAGGAAGATAGGGTACTACAGAATAGTAGGGGCTTGTCTGGGCCTGCAGGGGCAGGGAGCACAATGGTAAAGGATGCAGGGAGGAGCCCAACTCATACTGGAATACAGCCAATGCGCTACAGCCCCTTGCTGGAGGAAGTGGAAGAATCAAAGCTTGGACTTCCTGTTGGTACCTCCATTGGAAGAACCCCAACAAATCCAGGGCACAGGGTAGTCTAATAATGCGGTCTCTAAACACTGGCTTGTAGTGGAGAGAGCAAAGACAGCTCCAGAGTGGGTCTGAAGGAATAAAACAGAACATATCTAGCCCAGGATCACTTCTCAGAGGCCACAGCTTCTTGGTCTCCAGCCAAATTCAGCCATTATAGGATACAACTTCCCTGACCAGTTTCAAAGCCCTACTTACTGCTGAGAATGTGTGTTTGAACAAAGCCTTTCTTCTCTGTTACAACAGCAGGCCTGGAATTTTAAAAGCTTCATTTTCAAGACTGGTTGCTTTTGATCTGTGTAACCTGGAATTTCACTTTGGAGTCAAATAGAATGATTTAAACAAAATGTTCCTGTGATAAGCAAGAAATGTTTTCCTTTTCTTCCCCTGCTCCTTCCACACATCATTTCTTCTTAAAATATAAGGACTAGTCCATGGCCACCTCTTCAACCCCCAGCCTCTCTCAGCCTCCATTACCCTTTGTTTCTTCAACTTGTCTTTAGTCTTTCTTGTGGGAAAGCCATGGAGGGGGCTAATTTGATCTCAGCCTGGCCTGAGCAACAAAGCATCCCATGAACAGTGCTTCTCTCCTCTGACTTCTGCTCCAGGCATGTAAGAGCCATGTGCTGGCATACAGTCTTATTAATGGTACTGTCTTCATCTTGCCCCTTCTCTCATTCCTCCTTCCCCTTTCCTCCTTTCTCCCTCCCCCTCCCTCTTCCTACTTCCTCCTCCTCTTCTTCTTTCTTCTTTTTTCTTTCTTCTTCATGCCAGTAATGGAGCTTGAACATGTACTGTCTCTGAACTTATTTTCTCCACTACTACTCTACCATTGAGCTAAAGCTAGACTTCTGATATATATATATATATATATATATATATATATATATATATATATATATATATGTATATATATAATACATATATATATGGATATATATCCATATATATATATATATATATATAAATCAACATCTATATCTATATAATTTTTTGTGGTTAACTGGAGGTAATAGTGTCATGGACATTCATTCCCAGAGTGGCTTCAAATCACAATCTTCAGATCTCAGCCTCCTAAGTAGCTAGGAGTACAGGTGTGAGTCAGTCTTTTCTTTTTGATGGTATCTTCTGTTTTCCTAAGTTGAACATGTCCCCAGTTCCAAGTCTGCACTCCTTTCCTTTTTTTTTCTCTCATATTCCTCTTACCTTGACCTATCGGTATTCAAGGCAGTGTGTTGACTAGTATTGGAAATCAACCTGCTCTGCTGTCACAGGCAGAATGTCCCCCCTGGATTCCCCTGCTCTCCAGGCAGTGAAGCACAGAAGATGACAGAGGGATTGTGTTGCTGTCTTAGGGGTGGCCAATTGGCCATGAAAAGCCAACCTGAAATGGAAGAGATACTACTTTCACAGCCATTAAAAGCAAATGGTGAAAGTAAGGCCACATAGTCCCAGATATTAAGAGCTGTATCAACTGCAAAACGAAGTTCAGATATGGCCTGGTCTATGTCTATTCTATATAAATAACAAATAGAAACCATATGTGCAATCTCTCAGAAGGCATGAGCTGAATTCTACCAGAATGATTCTCTACAAATAAAAGTGAAGGTAGCACAGAATCCTTTGTTACGAGGACACTGATGAGAACAGGTTTTAGGATGTAAGGACAGCTGGCCCGGCTTGGCATATGGGGGGCAAAGGGGCAGATCCCTCACAATGCTGTAACATGTGGTCCATTCTGAATCTTTGCTCTGGCTTACTGAGCACAATCACTAATTTAGGTACAAAAGAAATGTACAAGAAATCCCAAAAGATGGCATCACTGTGAAGGTAAGAACATTTTGAATATATGGACTCCCACTTCAGGCCTAAAGACTGGGCAGAAACAAATCCACTATCTTGGTCGACTTTTCTGCAAGGAGACCAGCAATCAACTCTCTGGCTCTTTCTGGCAAGAGTGCCAGGACCACAGCTCTCTCTTCAGTGTCTAAGAGTACTACATGGGAAAGGAAAGTACTTAGCTATGAGGCCAGGATTCTTCTTAGGGGACGGAGCACAGGCTCCAAAGCCTGGCTCAGAAACCCCTGAGTGAGTACTTCAAACTCAGGAGATGGTAGATGGGATCACATAGGTCTTCAAATAACAACTCTAAAGAGAGAGAAAGACTTAGGAGCAACCATACCAACCCCAGATTTAAAATGAAATATAGACAATTTACTCTAGACATGTTTGACTAGCAGTTTGCTCCAGAAAGCCTGTGCAAAAAACACTGGAAGAACCCTTCAGTCAGAAAAGCCCATTCTGAACCACGGTGGTATCTTCTAAATTAATAGCAAGAAGCACAGTTATACTACCTCTGTCCACCGAGTAGATTTACATGCAGCTAGGACTTGCTTAGCTGGCCAGATGTGGGTCATTTTGGATGAGAACTGACATCACATGGGTGGTTGGAGTGAAATTAAGTATTACTTTATGAAGGTAAAAGCAGATGCACATTGTTTATTTACAATTTTCTTGGGAAACGGAGAGGCAAAATATTTTCCTAAGTGGAAAGGAGAACCTACAATACTAAGAGCAATGATATATCTTTTTTTCTTATGGCTATCCCCAGTGTCTTTCTTTCCCAGAAATGTGTACCTACCACTGCAGCCACAGCCCAACCTCAGAATTTGTCTAAGAGTTCAGAGGACTTTATTATATTCACCTCTTAGTAACATAAAAATTACCATGCATATGTAACATCTGGTTTTTATTGATTTTTATCAACACAATGAAATGATTTAATCAATATTTTTAGCAGCAAGTGAATGGCAAGCAGTTACAAAACATCTTATATTTCTATGTTTAAAAGAAGTTGTCTTAAGCAATCTATAGCAACTAAAATCACAAGGACACATGCAAAGGACTGAAGCACTTCTGCCTAGGGCAGGTTTGTTAGTCATTTCCTAACAAAGTCTTCTACTGCAAGCGCACATAATTATTCGGGCCTTCCACTGCCATATTGGGCCTCTTGTTTTTCCTTATAAATAACTGTGCCTAAATATAAGGAGGTGAAACAGAACAGAGCAAGTATGCCCACAGCTATGCCCCAAGGGCATCTGTCCCCTAAACAACCCTCAAATACCTTGAGTTGATTTCAGCTGCAGCAACCATCAGGATGATTGGAGGCTGTCATGCCCCGTGCAGTTTGCGCTGCTTTGGAGATAACTAGCTTCAATTTTAAACTGGTACAAACACATGGCAGGGCTCAGTGGAGTTAAAAGGCCATCCTTGCCCTTCTAATACTCCTGTTGGCACTAGAAGGAGCATCTTGTTTTTGTACAGTTCAGCATGGGAGGGGATCTTAGGTTTTTTTTTTGCCTCGAGACAGAGAAGTGGATTTAGCAGGGGGCTTGGTTGCTACTCCTTGGCTTGAAGTCCCAGGGTTTTTCCCTAGTTCTTCCTTGAGTTCAGCTGGGAGGAATTTGCTATATTTGGAGCTTGAAGAGCCCCAGTTGTCTGTATTTGCTTTCTTATTAGTTGTAACTATCTTCTTTTCATCAGCAGTGGACTACAAGTAAAAGAAAAGGCTAAAGTTATTAATTTTCAGACACATAAACATGTATACCAACTCAGAGAAGCAAGAAACATGCTTTGTTCAGGATTTGCAAGATAGACACTTTCTAGATTTGAAATACAACTAGTCACACTGTAAAATTATTATTAAATGCACAAAAACATCTTTAAGCAAACCAGTTTGTTTATGCTTGATGTGGAGCAAACTGTGCAGGCTCAATTTCAATCCCCATGCAATACAAATGAAAAGAAATGTCAGTAAACTTTGTACAAGGAAGTGCACTTGGATGTAACTGAACATATCTTTCCTGATTTCCAGACATTTCTACATAAAAACTCTAACCAGGACATCATGACCACTCTTCTAACCTGGTTTCAAACATCTGGTCCTCATCTGGTCATATCTAGTCCTGTCTAACATTTTCCCTATTCTCCATTGTGAGATCCAGGGACTGGCTTCTACTCCGTCATACTATCTGGCCAGGTCTGCAGACCTCTTAAGAGCCCCAATTCCCCACTGGTGAAGGTGGAAATGTTTACCTATTTCTGAGAAGGAATCATGGGAGTGGCCATATAAATACTATATGAGCATTAAAACATGGTTGAACAGACAGGAGGATTTTAATAGGCAATTTAACTTCTCAGGTTACCTGACTCCATAGCAGAGGTGGACATGGTCACGAGGGAAGTAGTTCACTTTGACCCTGGGACATTTTAAAAAACAATCCCTTTTAATTCAAGCTGGGCAGAGTTCTGAACAAGAAGGAAATACCCCAGAAAAGGCATGGGATGCAGACATGGCAAGCTCTCACCTACACAGAATGATCTGGGAAAGGGTTCTCCACTTAACACAATCAGGTTAACAATGTTCAAAGCATGTGAAAAGAGGTCACATAACACAATACAAATTGATCGGATGTTTCTTTGATTATTCTGTCAACTCTTCTGAAATGATGATATTTTATACTCAGTAGTAGGCACGTAATGTACATTATTTGCTCAATGAATAAATGAGTTCCCAGGATTGGAACAAACTGGGTCATTTATATACTCTTTTGTGCCTAGATTTCAAGAAAGAGCACATGCTTACTGCAGACATCTCCTAAACGTGCACCTCCTCAGAGCATCTATCACATCTGACTTTATAACAGTGTATGTGATGTCTGGTGTCAGTGGCTTAGACCTGCAGTTCTAGCTACTCAGGAGGCTGAAATGTGAGAATCACAGTCCAAAGCCAGCTTGGGCAGGAAAGTCTCTGAGACTCTTATCTATGAGATTCCTATCTTCACTAAAGAACCAGAAGTGTATCCATGAATCAACTGTTAGAAGACCAAAAAGCTAAGAAACAGTGGCCAGGCTCTGAGTTCAAGCCTTGGTACCAACATACACATATACATATGCACATTCACACACACACACACACACACACACACACATCAATGTATGTGAATCTTGAGCATAAAAAGCATTTTATAGCTTGAAAACTATTTTATATAAATTTTGAAATGTAAAAAGTTCCTTTTCTCCGAAGAAAACTTCTGAGTTGCTTCCACATACTCTGAAGAAGCAGAAAACATTTAAAATTCACTAACACTTACTAATACAGGTCGTGTCCTTTCATTGAAAGCACATGTCCAGCAGTAGGTGAAAATACAACATATTCTGGTATCTGGTTTAATACAGACCTAGTATCTAACATATGGAACCTATCTGGAATTTTCAGTTTATAAACCTGCATTAACGGTATATACAAATCCTATTAAAAGTCAACTCTAAGTGTAACCTTTCCTCTCATTTGACATTTCGACTTGTATTCTGAGTTATTAATTAAGTAGTTGAGAAAATGTTTTCCTACATGGGAACTACAAATAATATTCTATAAAATATGAATAGGGATTCAATCACTTGCTTTTTAATTCTCTCATATTCATACCTGGCTAAGTTTCCATTCGTCTGCACTGTTCCATTTGTTAATGCACTTAAGTCCTTAAAGTAGACGCAGAGCTACAGCCCAAAGATATATTCAGAAAGAGCCTCTAGGAGCAGGGCTAGAGATAAAGGGATGGAGATTCTGCCACCCACCCACTCAATCTGCCTCAACATAGTATCTTAATAGAACTCTCAGAACTTTTGTTAAAAAGTAGAAGGAAAAAGGAAACTAAACAGAAATACCTAATTATTTTGGTGTAGAAACATGATATTCTTATTTCATTATGTAGCAAAATGTGACAAAATTACATTCCTCAACTACATGTATTTATAATTTTAGTGATTTTAAAAGTACGTAGAACACACTCATAATATTTACAATGTTCAAAATCTCCTCCTAGTCTCCCTAGTTAATTCAATCTTATCCCTATCAAAGATAACCAATGCTGTCAATTTAAAGTGTACACTTCTAGAGCGTCCATGTTTCTTTATGCAAGTATGTCATTTCCATTACTTGCCAGTCAAAATTAGTTTAATAGTGATTTCATATGGCACAACTCCATCCATCGAACTACATGCTTTCTTTCAAATATTTGCCCAAATAGTAGTCCAATATGGATACTTTTTTCCAGGTCAGTTCATAAAGAATGCTCATTCATTTTCTAGCTGGCTCATAAAGAATGCTCATTCATTTTCTAGTTCTCATGTGAAGATGTACATAATTTCTATGGCCAGTTCATGGAAGAAACTATTTTTCACTAGAACAAATAATTCTGTGAATACCCTGAGACTCGTGTAACATATATATGTATGTACATATACATATATATTACTATATCTAGAATATTTATTTTATAAGTGGAAAGGCACGTAGATTTATAATTTTAAAAAAATATCTCCATGTTACTTCTCATTGCAGTTGTACCAATTTTATATTTTTACTCTTAGCATATAAGGGCTGTTTATTGTCAATTTGGTGTTTAATACATGCTAAGTTAACATAGATAACCACATTTTAATTAGGACTCAAGATTGCCTTAAAAATAGCTACGCTGAAAGAAATCAGAATATTTCCTTCTCTCCTTGATAACATCATTGCAAATACACTGACCTTTTTACAAAGGTTTACTGCAGTGTGTAAAAGCTTGTGTGTTTAACTTGTAATATAGTGTGTTTGTGCGCACACACACCATAACATTCTCTGTTCACTGTGTTGCATTCAGTTTATGATGCAGTTGGTTAGGAAGCAGAATTCTTACAGTTCTTCCAAAGACTCTGAGACTCCACCAGGCACTGGTAGCTCACACCTGTAATCCTAGCTACTTGGGATTCTGAAATAAAAAGAATCACAGCCTCAGCAAGTATGCAGGATCCCTTCTCAACTAATAGCTGGACATGGTAGCACAAATCTCCCATCCCAACTGCCTAAGGAGGCTGAGTTTGGGAAAATCATAGTTCCAGAATAGAAAAGTTCAAGGGAAAGAAGCTATCATCCTCACCATAACAGGAGCCTAGATAGGCAGACCATGGCCAGGAATATGCCCAGAAAGGAAAGACGATCCTATCTCAAAAGTAACCTGTCAGAAAAGGGCTGGAGACATGGCTTGGTAGAGCATTTTCCTAGAAATGTGAAGCCTTGAGTTCAAATTCAAGTACTATAGAAGAGTCTGAGACTCCCCATCTTTAGTCTGCTCCCTCATTGTAACCATTCTGGTGCTGACAGCATAGATGCAGAATGGTCACCATGATGCCCTTCACACTAAGCTGCTGGCTCTTTTTTACCCCCAAATAGCCAAGGGTCTTATTCTCCTTGGAACCACAAATGGCCATGGCAAACTGCAGTTCCAAGCTTTTTCTAGGACTGTAAACAAATCTTAATTTCTTTCAGGGCTTTCTTTTGGTAGGTTATGGATTCTCTGAGTTGGAGGTTCCTCCTTTTTTTCTCTCATAGCTGATGAGACTCCTTAGCGATCCTTGCTGTTATGGATCCAATTGGACAATTTGTAAGTAATAAGACAGAGAAATGAAAAGCAAAATTGCCAAGACTAAGAGATTTTGCCAGTCATAAAAGGCAAACAGGACAAGTGCTCCCCTAAGACCAGAGAAAGGGGCATAAGGATGACATGGGACTTTTAATATTCAGTTATGTGGGAGACGATCCTAAATGACCATCATGAGATGTTGGCCATCCATGCATCAGAACATAAGAGGATGCAAAAATCATTACAGGCCGTGGACTAAAGACACTGCATATAAAGCAACATTGCCCAGTAAGCAAGAAAACCTTACTGTCGTGGTATTTTCAGGGGAGGTCTGCAATGGTGTAACTCATCTGAACAATTTACTTATAGTTTAACAAAATAAATACCAGAAAGCTAAAATATGTGTTATTGGAAGAGGAGGAAGTCAAGGGGATGAGGGTGGATGAATAGAGAGGGGAAGGGTGGGTCATAATAGTCAATGGAACCAAGTAACTTGAGATTAATAGGGTTGGAAGAGATGGGGGAAGATGGAGGAAGGGGTGACATTGATCAAGATGCTTTGCACTCATAAACTGAAACCCTTTTGTACAACTATGTAAGGATAGTAAGAGAAGAAAAAAGAAAAACTACTGTCACATGAAAGGTATTTTAGATATCAAAGAAAAAGATCCTTTTATCCTTAAATAAAACTATGATGAAGTCATACCTAAAACATTGCAACTAGCCTGAAAAGATAAAAGAGACCAGTGAAGATTTGTATCTTGGCTATTAATGATTGTGGTAGTGGATAGAGAAGTCTTTACATATAAGTACTGTATGTATATGTGTGTGTGTGTGTGTGTGTGTGTATGTACATATATATATATCAGAATCTATAAGAAGAAGAGGCACATATGCAGCACTTGGAGCTACAGGGCAGCTCTGAGTGCTACAGTCAGGTAAAATGGTGGAGGTAGGGGCAGACTTTCAATTGTCGTCCATCTTTGATGAATTCTCACCATCTGGGACAGTTGAAGAATAGTTCGGCCTACTTGAGACTGAATGGTAGAAAAGATAGCCTTACAAGGTTCCTCCAGTTTCACCT